CACCTGTACAGGCTGGAGTCAGCAACAGCACAGCTGAAGGCAAACTGGAAGTTCCGGTCTTTTATTCATACACGGTTCTTAAGCGCCTGGTGCGCCCACTACAGGCCTACGGCTGCATCGCAGGCCACTCGAACAAACATTACCTCCCCTAATGAATTGATAACAGTTTTTCTATGTGTTGTTGGTGGTTCGGGCATGTATCTAAACTATTTTAATCAAGACTTAACAATTGTCAAACAATAGATCATAAAAGTCAATATTCAAAAGGGAAACTAAGAAAATAATAATAATAACTTTGTGTTGGTTTATGAAAAGTTTAAACTTTCTAAAATTTTAACAAGCACGAGAGACAATCAAACACAAAAAGAAGATCAGAAAGATCTAACGAGAACGAGTGAGACATTTTCCCCCTTTGCTTTCCTTTTTTTTTCCTTTTTTTCTTATTTTTTATTCACAAAAGCCTGACATTTTTAAAGGCAGGTGATGAAAACATTCATCATTCTAATTCTAGCACAATTATTATTGTTGTTTTAAAAAAGTGATAATAAATGGATAAAAGTCCTAATAAAAAACCCATGATTTTTAGTTTTGTGAGAACAACACAACATTTCCATCTGCTGGCTGCTCCCACAMTCTGGTTTGTTTCTCTCTGTAATAAAAACAGAAAAACTCTGCAGAGTTGACTGTGATGGTTCAGCWTACTTTATTTGTGTTTTTAAAGAGTTGAGATCATAAAACACCATGAGCCAGGGAAACAATTTTTCTTCTCTCTGGTCAAGCATGATTTCATAATGTCAAGCTGCCAGTAGAGGGCAGCAGAGAGCAACAATAATCTGTTCAAATCCATTACAGACTGGTTGGAAACAGAATGAAGATGCTCATATCTAAGTGTGTATTATCTGACATGTTAGTAAAATATCCTGTGAACTTTTGGAGTAATTTTAATGAACCTCTCCTGAATCTGTCTGCGACCTGACAACGTTTAATGATTCRTTTGTTATAATTTAAAGTAATGAAATTTGTAATTTTTATCACTTCAGTTAGCTATAATAAATGTTAAAWTAATCTTAAAATGAGCCTAATCAGATAGTTGAATAAAACAGAACCAG